ACAAGATCCACGAGACTGGCCCCAGGGCATCTCCTAAGGTCCCTGCGGGGCAGCTCTCGTCGAGCCGCGCGCAGCCGAGGCCATCGGGGGCGCCTTCGGAGAGCCCTGGAGAGGACCAAACCCAAACATGATCGCGTCGGATGTTTTAATGTGTATATATAGCTGACGAAGCACCCAACCATAAGCAGCTGCGAGTACCGCGAAACGCTGTCCTGGATGGCGTTGACGCATGCGGCCTGTGCCACTGGAGCCTTCGGTGGAGCTCTCTATGGGGCCACGAAACGCTGTCCTGGGTGGCGTTGACGCATGCAGCCTGTGCCACTGGAGTCTTCGGTGGAGCTGCCTGTCGGCCACGAAACGCTGTCCTGGGTGGCGTTGACGCAGGCGGCCTGTGCCACTGGGGCCTTCGGTGGGGCCACGAAACGCTGTCCTGGGTGGCGTTGACGCATGCGGCCTGTGCCACTGGAGCCTGCGGTGGAGCTGCCTAGGCCACGAAACGCTGTCCTGGGTGGCGGAGCCTTCGGTGGAGCTCTCTATGGGGCCAACGCTGTCCTGGGTGGCGTTGACGCATGCGGCCTGTGCCACTGGGGCCTTCGGTGGAGCTCCCTATGGGGCCACGAACCGTGTGAGGGGTGTGCTGGAATGGGTGGGATGATGCTGATGATGACGAAGACGATGACGAGGCGGATGGGAAGACGGACGAGGAGGAGGAGGAGGAGGAGGAGGAGGAGGAGGAGGAGGAGGAGGAGGAGGGGAGGAGGCAGAGGGGGAGGAGGAGGAGGAGACGGAGGAGAGGAGACGAGGGGCGCTGTCTCTTCAAAACGAAGACAAAACCACAGGATGGCTGGGAATCAGGACGGGAAGTTTTGGACCGTCTTCGGCCTCCGGGGGCCCGTACTGGGCCTCGGGAGCGTCCAAATACTACTCAGGACGAAAAACTGGTCCCGGGGAAAGGGTCGGGACTTCCAGGGACCCCGCACAGAAGAAATCAGGACGTCGCATGTCTGGGAAGGCCTCCCCTCGCCCCCACCCTCTGGTGCGCGCCGCCGGCTGCCCCCCCTTTCAAACGCCGCCGATGCAAATATAAAGTTGCGCAGCTGCCGCCCGCCGCCTGGCAGACGAGGTGCCTGGAGGAGGAGGAGGGAGGGATAAGGGAGACGAGGCGCCATGGGCCTCCCCCTCCTCCTCCTCCTCCTCCTCCTCCTCCTCCTCCTCCTGCTGCGCTGCTGCAGCTGCTGCTGCTGCTGCTCTCCTCCTCATCCTCCTCCTCTTCCTCCCTCCTCCTCCTCCTCCTCCTCCTCTCCTCCTCCTTCCCATTCCTCCTCCTCTCCCAGCCTCCTCCTACCAGCTCCTCCTCATCCCCCCCTCCTCTCCTCCTCCTCCTCCTCCTCCTCCCCTCCTCCCCCCTCTTCCTCCGCTTCTCCTCCTCCTCCTCCTCACCTCCTCTTCCTCCTCCTCCTCTCGTCCTCCGCTTCCCACTACCTCCTCCTCCTACCTCCCCTCCTCCTCCTCCTCCTCCTCTCCTCCTCCTCCTCCTCCTCCTCCTCCTCCTCCTCCTCCTCCTCCTCCTCCTCCTCCTCCTCCTCCTACTCCCTCCTCCTACTCTACTCCTAGTCTCTCCCTCCCCTCCTCCTCCTTCCTCCTCCTCCTCCTAGTCTCCTCCTCCTCCTCTCTCAATCCTCCTCCTCTCCTCCTCCTCCTCCTCCTCCTCTCTCCTCCTCTCCTCCTTCCTCCTAGTCTCCTCCTCCTCCTCCTCCTCCTCCTCCTCCTCATCCCTCCTCCTCCTCCTCCTGACTCCTCCTCCTCTCCTCTCCTCTCCTCCTCCTCCTCCTCCTCCTCCTCCTCCTCCTCCTTCTCCTCCTCCTCCTCCTCCTCCTCCAGCGGGCTCCTTCGGGGAACGGGCGCCGCGCTTCGGGGGCCCCCAAACAGGGTGGTGACCACACCGTGCGGTGGTGAGTCGGTGGGGATTCGGGGTCACCGCACGGTTTTGTGACTCGGGTCGGTCTCCGAGGACGTCTCGGGCGGTAGGGGGCCTCCGGGGTCCCAAGGCCGTGCGGTGACGGACCGTGCGGTGAGGTCTTGGGGGATTCTGACGGACCGTGCGGTGAGGTCTTGGGGGATTTCGAGGTCACCGCACGGTCAGTCACCGCACCGTTTCGGGACTCCAAATCTTGGGGGGGAGCGGGAGCACCCGGACCTCCAGCGCGGGGATTGTTGGCACAGCGCCGACCCCAGAGGTCCCAGATCCCCTCGCGTTGCGAAGAAATCTCGACGGGACGTTTTTCCCAGCTATCTTGTGGTTTTGGGTCCTCGTTTCGAAGGGAGCTCCCCGCGCCCACTCTCCTCTCCTCTTCTCCTGCTCCTCCTCCCCCTCCTCCCTCCTCCCTCCTCCCTCCTCCTCCTCCTCCTCTTCCTCCTCCTCCTCCTCCTCCTCATCCTCCCCCTCCTCCTCATCATCATCATCCTCCTCCCTCCCTCCTCCCGTCACGCCCCTCACTTTGGCACAGCCCTTGCAAGTCTCGTGGTCCCATAGGGAGCTCCACCGAAGGCCCAGATGCCAACCGCACCCATGTTGGCACACCCCTCACACGTTTCGTGGCCCCATAGGTGGCTCCACCGAAGGCCTGGATGCCAGCGGTCGCATGCGGCCACCGCACATTTTTTGAACACCCCTCACACGTTTCGTGGCCCCATAGGGGGCTCCACCGAAGGCTCAGATGCCAGCGGTCGCATGCGGCCACCGCACCCACTTTGGCACACCCGCATGCGGCCGCCGCACCCATCTTGGCACACCCTCACATGTTTCGTGGCCCCAGAAGGAGCTCCACCGAAGGCCCAGATGCCAGCGCTCGCATGCTGCCACCGCACCCACTTTGGCACGTTTGGTGGCTCCATCAGGGGGCCCCACTAAAGGCCCACATGCCAGCGCTCGCATGCGCCCACCGCACCCATTTTGGTAAACCCCTCGCACGCTTCGTGGGCCCGTGGGGAGCTCCGCCGAATGCGGTGCATACGACGGTGCCCACAACTGCAAATGGTTGGGTCCCTCGCCAGGCGAGTTCACCCTTTTCGGCCTCCAGGGGCCCCCACGGGGCCGCGGCACCGTCAACAAAGCAGCTCGGGATGAAGAGCCGGTCCTGGGGAAGGGGCCCAGACCTCCTGGAGACCGACGTGTGAACAGAAATCACGACGTCGGGGGTCTGGGCATGGCTGGACCTCAACGCTGTTTTGCTGGACTTCGGCCGTGTTTTGTGTTTCGTTTTGGTAGGGGTGGTACAAGAAAAACAGGTAGAGCACAACGGAACACAAAACGAATAGCATAACGAAAACAAGACGAAGCACAGCGTGTAAGTCCAGCCCTGGGTCTGGGTTCTGGACCCCTTCCCGGGGGACCGGATTTTCATCCCGGGTTTTCGTGACGGCCCTGGGGCCTGACGAGGGCCCCTGGAGGCCGCGCACGGCCAAGAGCCTGCCGTCGTGGCTTATCTCCACTGCGAGAGGGGTTGAGTCCCCCTCCTCCTCCTCCTCCCCCTCCTCCTCCTCCTCCTCCTCCTCCTCCTCCTCCTCCTCCTCCTCCTCCCCTCCTCCTCCTACTCCTCCCTCTTCCTCTTCCTCCTCCTCCCCTCCTCCTCCTCCTCTCCTCCTCCTCCTCCTCCCTCCTCCTCCTCCTCCTCCTCCTCCTCCTCCTCCTCCTCCTCCTCCTCCGTGCCGGGAGCTCCCTGGCCGTGCGCAGGCCTCGTCGCCCGAGCTGCGGCCGCGGGGGCGCGAGACGGCGCCGGAGCGGGCGCGGGCGGGGCCGCGGACAGTGTTGGCGCCGTGCGCGAGGGGGTACGGGGTAGAGGGGGTACGGGTTGGCGCCGTGCGCGAGGGGGTACGGGGGCGCGCTGGGACTGGCGGGGCCGATCTGTGCCCACTCGGGTCCTCTGCATCCCTGCACGTGAAGCGCCTGGCAAGAGGCGTTGTAGAATGGGGCAACCCCGTGGATTAGCGTCCACGGTAGAGGAGAGAGAACTATGCACATACACCGATTCTGGCCAGGCCCATCCTGAGCCCAGGATCGGTGCCTACGCCCTCTTGCCTTGGCCAGGGAGGTATAGGCACCGATCCTGGGTCAAGGATGGACGTTGTCAGGATCGGTGCATGTGCATAGTTCTCTTCGCCCGAATGGGGGGTGGGGAAGGCTGCTTAGAAGCGATGAGGCAACTGCTGGGAGGTCTTCGCGGGAAGGAATTAGGGAGGACTCAGCCCTAGTAGGGGGGCTGTTGCGCCGGAGTGTGCCTCGGACTCAGCGGGATGAAGCCGGATTAAGCGGGATCAAGCGGGATCAAGCCGGATCAAGCGGGATTAAGCCGGATTTCGGACCAGGGCAAAATCAGGATTTGACCTCCCAGGAGCTGCATCCGAATCAGAAGGAGGCCGCTTCCTGGAAGGCGCGGGCCTTGCACCTGCAGATGGAAGGCCGCGCCTTCTGAGAAGCAGCCTCCTGCCAAGAAGCCTTCCCCCCTCGGCCACACGTAAGAGTGGCCCTGGGCAAGGGTGCTCTTTGGTGCCCGACTCAACGGAGGGGCGCAGGGTGGCCAAACCTGGGCGCGCGAGCCGCTGCTGCCGCTTCGCGATCCGCGAACGGCCACTCACGACGGATCCCTCCAGCGAAAGGCCACTCTTGTGGGGGAGCCACAAGGTACAGATACTGCTACTCCTCGGGCCTCTCCCAGGGTGCGTTCTGACCAGGATCTCGGGGCGCATCCAGCGGTAGCGACGAGGGCCTCCCAGGAGGCCCAAAAAGGCGAAAACGAGGGAGCGGCAGCGGTGTGGGCACTCTGGATGGGACAACGGTCGCCCCCCCCCCCCCCCCCCTCCTTTCTTCCCCATCCAGCATACCTCTGCCTCCCCCGATCTCCCACGTGCAGCCGACCCCCTCTCCCACGCCCCCCCCGCCTCTGCGCGTGGCCGCCCCGGGCCCGCGCCGCAGCCCTCGCCGCCGCGGGGCCCCCATGGTCGGGGCCTTCGCCGCTGCGGGCGGGCGGGCGGCGCGCTCGGGGCGGCCGTGCAAAACTCGCGCGGCGGCCCGGACCTCCGGCCTCTCGGGGAGCGAGGCCCGAGGCTCCCAGCGAGGTCGGGCCCGTCCCTCCACAGGAGGCACATCCTCCTCCTCCTCCTCCTCCTCCTACTCTCTCCTCCTCCTCCTCCCTCCTCCTCCTCCTTCCTCCTCTCCTCCTCCCTCCACCTCCCTGCCTCGCTCCTCCACCTCCCCTCTCCTCGTCCTCCTCTCTCCTCCTCCTCCTGCCTCCTCCTCCTCCTCCTCCTCCTCCCTCCTCCTCCTCCTCCTCCTCCTCTCCTCCTCCTCCTCCTCCTCCCCTCTCCTCCTCCTCTCCTCCTCCTCATCCTCCTCCTCCTCCTCGCTCGCTCCTGCTCCTCCTCCTGCCTCGCTCCTCCTCCTCTCCTCCTCCTCCTCCCCTCCTCCTCCTCCTCTCCTCCTCCTCCTCCTCCTCTCTCCTCCTGCCTCTCCTGCCTCGCTCCTCCTGCTCCTCCTGCCCTCCTCCTCCTCCCCTCATCCCTCCTCCTCCTCTCTCCTCCGCCTCCTCCTCCTCCTCCTCCTCCTCCTGCCTCGCTCCTCCTCCTCCTCCTCCTCCTGCCTCGCCAGGCCGTGCCTCCACAGGAGGCATATCCAAGGACGGTCCAGAAATAGCCTGGGGACGACTTCTGTGCATGTTTGCTTTGACCATGTGGGGGTACTGGGACATCAGGGTGGGCCTGCATGGAGGGGGGACTGCTCCTCCTCCTCCTCCTCCTCCTCCCTCTCCGTTGCTTTGCCATGAAAGCGTCTTGAGCGCCCATGAAAGCGTCTTTGGGGGTACTTTGGGGGGGGCATCTTTTATTTATGTTGCATCATCGGGGGACCTTGTCTGTCCCGCCGCGGCCCTATCCGCGTCGAATCCGTTTCGAATCCATGTCGGCCTCGACGGATCCGTGTCGAATACGTGTCCAATCCGCGTCGAATCTGCGCCAAATCCGCGTCGGGCACCAGGAAAGACACCAACTCGGGGGACAGGCGAGGCCCCCCGAAGCTGCAACGCAATTTTCTATATTTGGGGGTACTTTGGGGGGGCATCTTTTTGTTTTGTTTTTTTTTGCGGGGGGGGGGGGCATCTTTGTATCTTTCGCCCACACTCCCCCTGCAGGGCGCGTCCTCCTCCTCCTCCTCCTCCTCTTTCCTTTTCCCTCCTCCTCCTCCTCCTCCTCCTCCTCCTCCTCCTCCTCTTTCCTTTTCCCTCCTCCTCCTCCTCCTTCGTCCCTGCTCCTGCCCCCCTGCGCCTCTCCCCTCCTCGGCCACTCCTCCTCCCTGCAGGTGCCTCCCCCTGCAGGGGGGACAGGCCCGACTGGAGGCTCCCGGGCGCTGCGAGGCGCGCCCCCGGGGCCTCCTCGAGGCCTCCATCGCGGCAGGGGCCCGGCCCCCCTCTCCCCACTCGCAGAGGGCGCCCCGGGAGGCACGCAGAGAAGTGGACACGGACCCCGGGAGTCCCTCCACCTCTCCTCCTCCTCCTCTCCTCCTCCCTCCTCCTCCTCCCACTCCTCCTCCTCCTCCACCTCCTCCTCCTCCTCCTCCTCCTCCTCCTCCTCCTCTCCTCCTCCTCCTCCTCCTCCTCTCTTCCGTCCTCCTCCTCCTCCTCCTCCTCCTCCTCCTCCTCCTCTTAGTAAAACGTGGTTTAGTGAAAACGACCCGGGCCAAAATAGGCGGGCGCAGGCAGGAAAGTGACGCCGCGCGCCCTCATCGAGAAGCCGAAAAACGGACGATCACGGAATCGGACGTGTCAGTGTTGGGGCTTCTGTCCACCCCCGAACGGATCCCAGGAGTCCCCCCATGTTCGGGCGGGCAAGAGTAGGGGAACAAGAAGTGCATAAACATAACAACTCGGAGGTCCCGAAGTCCTCCCCGTTTTCGGGGGGGGCCAAGAGTGGGAACGAGAAGTGGCATAAACATAACAACTCGGAGGTCCAGGAGTACCCCGTTTTCGGGGGCGGCCAGGAGTAGGGGAACAAGAAGTGGCATAAACCTAAAAAATCGGAGGTCGCGCGGGATTTCTAGGATCGGCGCTGGGGCCCCCTGGCGGCGCCTCCGGCGCCGCCCTTGGCGCGCTCCGCGCGCCAGGGAGGGGGGGGGGTACAGCGCGGATCCGAGAAATCCGCGCGGACCTCCGAGTTTGTATGTTTATGTCATTTCTTGTTCCCCTAAAGAGGGGGGTGTCCAAGAGGAGGGGTTCAAAGCATGGCTGGCGGCATGTGCGCGGTCCCAGCGGGGGGCCAGGGAACGCATTGAAACAAGAAGAGGCGCCATGAGATCTGAGGAACTAGCATGGCCCACGCCATGACATCCAACCCCCCTAGTCATCACCCCCCTCTTTGCCGCCACCGATATTTTTGTGGATGCCACGGCGATGGACACCCTAACAGTCCGATCATTGAAATTAAAATGTAGGAAGATGTGCCAAACATGTTTTGAACATGTTTTTCACAGATTGAAAACAACTGGAAATTATGTGGCAGCATGCTTCCTCTCCATTGATCGCCCTCCACAACCTTATTTCCCCATATCTTCTAGGTTTTCGTCTCCCCCCCACTTCCCACGTCTTCCCATATTTTCCTGGGAGTCGACGATGAATTGTGTCTGCGTGTCCGTGTGTTTTCCCCTCTGGACACTCGGGGACGCGCAGAAGTGGGGTCCGGGGCAGGGGTGGGGCTGTAGAGAAAGCTCGTTCCAAACGGCCCATGGAGGAAAGGAAACGTATGCTCCCTGACCCCACTTCGAGATAGCCCCCCCTGCCCCGAGCCACGCCCGGGCCGGAGCACACCCCGGGACGGGTCGGGGGACCGACCCCCGAGCCCAGATCTCCGACGTCTTCCAAGAAACCGAGCTCACCGCTTCTGGCCCATAGTGGGGGGGGGGGGGGCGGCGCTCGTGCGCCCCTGGACCGTCCAACGCCTGCGTGTTGGACGGGTCTCTGGGCCACGTCGCGAAAAAAACGCGACGTCGGAAGTCTGGAAAGCGTCCGGGGGGGCAGCCGGCTCCGCGCCGAATCCCGCCCTGGCCAAAGGCCGACGCCGGGCTCCGGATCGGTGTGCACGCCTTCCCGGCCGAGCCAAGAGGACACGCACACCCCGAGCATGGTCTGGAGGAGGAGGAGGAGGAGGCGGAGGAGGACGAGGAGGGAGAGGAGGAGGAGGAGGAGAAGGAGGAGGAAGAGGAGGAGGAGGAAGAGGAGGAGCAGGAGGAGGAGGAGGCGACCCTAAGACCCTGAGACGCCTCAAGCCTCGACTTTCCGGACGTCGGAGGTCTCAGCTGGTGCTCGCCACGCTTCTGCAAATTTCGGAGGGAGGCGCCGCGCGTGGCGGTGGCCGCGCAGGGGCTCCCACTGGGGGGGGGGCGCTTTGGCCGAGGCGCACTCTTTGGTGCTGGCCGCGAGGGACACACTGAGTGCCCTGGACCGCCACAGGATGTCGAGAAGGAGGAAGAAGAGGAAAAGGAAGAGGAGGACCCTTCTCGCCCCTGTCCCTCCTCCTCCTCCTCTTCCTCCTCCTCCTCCTCCTCCTCCTCTTCCCTCCTCCTCCTCCTCCTCCTCCTCCTCCTCCTCCTCCTCCTCCCCTCCTCCTCCCCTCCATCCTCCTCCTCCTCCTCCTCCTCCTCCTCCTCCTCCTCCTCCTCCTCCTCCTCCTCCTCCTCCCTGCCTCCTTCCCCTCCCCTTCCTCCTCCTCCTCCTCCTCCTCCCTCCTCCCTCCTCCTTCCTCCTCCTCCTCCTCCTCCTCTCCTCCTCCCCTCCTCGTCTCCTCGTCCTCCGCCTCCCTCCTCCTCCTCGTCTCCTCGTCGCCTCTTCCTCCTCCTCCTCCTCCTCCTCCTCCTCTCCCCTCCTCCTCGTCCTCCTCCTCCTCCTCCTCCTCCTCCTCCTCCCCCTCCCCCTCCTCCTCCTCGCCTCCCCCCTCCTCCTCCCTCCTTCCTCCTCCTCCTCCTCCTCCCCTCCTCCTCCTCCTCCTCCTCCTCCTCCTCCTCCCCTCCTCCTCCTCCTCCTTCTCTTCATCCTCGTCCTCCTCCTCCTCCTCCTCCTCCTCCTCCTCACCATCATCATCATCATCATCATCACCATCATCATCATCATCAGCATCATCATCATCATCATCATCATCATCAGCAGCAGCAGCAACAACATCATCATCAGCATCAGCATAGTCATCAACATCCTCAGCATCAGCAACAGCATCATCATCAACCTCATCATCATCATCATCATCATCATCATCATCATCATCATCATCATCATCATCATAATCATCATCATCAGCATCATCATCAGCATCATCATCAGCATTATCATCGTCATCATCATCATCAGCATCATCATCATCATCATCAGCCGCAGCATCATCATCAGCATCATCACCATCATCGGCATCATCATCAGCATCATCATCAGCAGCATCAGCATCATTATCAGCATTCGCATCATCAGATCCGTCCTCATCAGACCAGCGCCTTCATGATCAGCGTCATCATCATCAGCATCAGCATCAGCATTAGCATCGTTAGCATCATCATCATCAGCAGCAGCAGCATCGTCATCATCATCATCATCCTCATCATAATCATCATCATCATCATCAACAACACCACCGACATTTTCCACCAGCATCATCATAAACATCATCGGCACTTTCAGCATCACCACCAGAATACTCAGCATCATCATCAGCACCAGCATCATCAGCAGCATCAGCATCACCATCATCCTTAGCATCATCATCAGCTTCATCATCAGCAGCATCAGCAGCATCACCATCCTCATCAGCGTCCTTACGATCACTTTCATCATTCGCATCATCAACAGCAACATGGTCATAATCATGATCATCCTCATCAGCATCATCAGCATCAACAGCGATCTCATCATCAACAACATCATCATAATCGTCCGCCTCATCCTCCTCCTCCTCGTCCTCCTCGTCGTCCTCCTCATCAGCATAATCATGAGCATCATTATCAGCAGCAGCATCAGCATCATCATCACCATCATCAGTATCGGTGTCGTTGTCGTTATCGCCATAACCACCACCATCATCATTACCATTTTCGCCACCATCGTCATCATCATTGCCATCAGCAAGATCATCAACAGCAGCATAATCATCGTACTAATCACCCGAATCATCATCTGCACCATTTTGACCGTAATCATCACCAGCCCGTCATCATCACCAGCATCGCCATCACAACCAGCATCATCATTATCATCATCAGCAGCATCATCATGATCATCACGATCATCATCGCCAGCACCCCCATCACCATCGTCATCAACAGCACCGTCATCACCTGCATCCTTATCATCTCCATCATGGTCATACTATTTCTCCTCATATTCCTCTGCCTATTCCTCTTCATCCTCGTGCTCATCCTCCTCAGGCACCACCGTATTCCTCCGCCTCCTCCATCCTCCTCCTGCTGACGCGTCTCATCCTCTGCGCTCTGCGCTGCTACACGATGCATCTCGTGACGACAAGATGCCCGACAAAGAAAGAAACAACACCTACATGCTGGGGATGGGAACGGGCACGACCACCTCCCCCTTCGGGAAGGACGGGTTCTTGCCACTCTTCAGAAGACGGAGCGAGCTCCCCTTCAATTCGCCGACTTGGCGTGTCGCAGACTTGGCCGCAAGATCCTCACTTGGCTCTCAGCGTACACTCCACAGTCGATGCACCAAAGTACAAGCCCGTTGGCCCACAGCACGTGGGCGGGGTGAGCTTTCGCAAAGAACACGGGGACCCCAAGGTACGGCTGTTGCACAAGCCGAAACCTTCTGGAACGTCCCAACCCACAGGCCGCACATCCCCACACACCTGGAAAGTATGTTACACAATGACCCCTGTCACCTGGAACTAAATCGAACAGAGGGGCCTCTGAATTAACAGGGGCTCTCTGCCTAGGCGATTTGATCGCCTCGACGTCAGGGCAACCTAACATATGCACATACTTCAACACATCTGCCATGCACCTGGCCAGGAAGGAAACCTGGTCTCGATGTTGTTTGATCCTGTCACGGACGTGGTAGTTTATCGAATGCGCCTTGGCTCCCATTCTGGCCCATCCGTCGGCGAGCCTGTTCCTGTGGAAAAGATGAAGTTCGACTCCTTGATTGCACGCCGTCAACCTCGACATGTGCGAAGTGATCTTGACCAGCATGATGTTATCATTGCCTTAAGCCTCCACGATCCTCCAAATTTGCCCCCCCGAACTCTGCGTATGCTCTATCAGGATGGGTCGAGTACGCATTTCCCACCCCCCCCAACCGTCTATCACAATCTGGCAGTCCGCGCACACCGTGATGGTGGGCCCCATGAGGCAAACTGCCATAAGAAAGGGCAGAAAGTTCAGCCTCATCTTGGACGGGAAGCGGCGATGGGGCACACGCATGGCCTCGACCTCGAGCTGCAATGAAACTGACACTACTGCCCACCCTGCTATGGGCAACCATCCCACGTCATTGTCGAACCCGGAACCATCCACACACACACACACACACACACACACACGTGTGGCCACAGGGTACCGCGCGGATGAGGGGGTGGGCCTATTCGAACTCAGCACCATGCAAACGATTTGGGATGTTGCGCCTGTCGTTGTCGACCAGCGCCCGCTCCCATCTTAAACCGGGCCTGCTTCCCTGAGCTGCACGTACCTCGTACCTTTCCTTGGTGATCTTAATATCTGCGAAATCCCCACGAAGCGTCGCAGCAACAAATACGATGGTGTGTCGAGCCATGAGCAAGAAGAATACCTCTGCCTGAAGAGGTCCGTCTGAATCCAGGGGCCCTCCGAGACCTGGGCGATGAGGAGGCCAATCCCCAGAAAGTCCTCCCGCGCTGAGGGCGTCCTCCCCCCGTTGTGGCCACTCTCGTCTGCGCTGCCCGCGCATCCCCGCCGCACGAAGATGGGGCACAGCTTTCTTCTGCCGGTGTGGCATCCACGAGCTCGTGGTGACGATGGTCGACACGTCCGACATAAACAGCGCGAGCCTGCTCAAGGGCAGCCTCGGTCAACTTTTAGAGCAGCTCGCTTCCTCGTCTCTCATGCATCCCTTCCTCCCTCCCTCCCCCCTTGTCTCCCTCCCTCCCTCCCTCCTTCTGATAGGAGGATGAGGATGGAGTGAGGAAGGGAGGGAGGGAGGGACTAGACAACCGTGTAGCACAACCAAGAACCTTCCTCCCTCCTACCTCCCCTCCTCCTCTTCTGCCTCCTCCTCATCATCCTCCTTTAACTCCTTCGACCCTCCCCCCTCCTCGGTCATCCTCCCTCACCCTCGATGAAGAAGTAGGGGGAAGAGCATGAGGAGGAGCAGGAGAAAGGGGATCTGACGAAGGATGGAGCAGGAGGACGGGGGGCGGTGAGGAGGACGGAAGAGGTGGAGTAGGAGGGAGCAGAACAAGAAGGAGGGAGTTCAAGAAGGAAGGGGGAGAAGTCGGAGGAGGAGGAGGAGGAGGAGGAGAGGTAAGGGAGGAGGAGAGGAGGGAGGTTGAAGAGGGAGGATGAGAAAGGGGAGGAGGAGGAGGAGGAGGAGGAGGAGGAGGAGGACGAAGAGGAGGAGGAGGAGGAGAAGAAGGAGGAGGAGGAGGGAGAAGGAGAGAGGAGGAAGGAGGACGAACCAGAAGGGGAAGGAAGGGAGGGAGGTGGAGAGCGAGGCGAGCTTGCGGTCACAACGGGCGCGGCCGTCTTTCCCGGAACCAGGCGCGGAGGACGAGGGCGCACACGAGCAGCCCGGCCCATCCAGCGGCGGCCGCGGGCGACGATAAATTCAAGGGCGGCGGGCTAAGAGCCGTGGGTTCTTCGGGCGGGACCGTCCCCTCTCCTCCTGCTCCTCCTCCTCCTCCCGCACTCCTCCTCATCCGCAGCTCCCCCTCCTCCTCCTCCTCCTCCTCACTCCTCCTCCTCCTCCTCCTACTCCCCCTCCCACTCCCCTCCCCCTTCCCACCTCGTCATCCTCGTCCTTCCTTTCCGCCGCTTCACTTGCTTCCTCTACTCCTCCTCCTCCTCCTCCTCCTCCTTCTCCTCCTCCTCCTCCTCCCCTCCTCCTCCTCCTCCTCTCCTCTTCCTCCTCCTCCTCCTCCTCCTCCTCCTCCTCTCCCCCCTCCTCCTCTTCCTCTCCTCCTCCTCCTGCTCCTCTCCTCCTCCTCCTCCTCCTCCTCCTCCTCCTCCTCCTCCTCCTCCTCCTCCTCCTCCTCCACACTCACCCCTCCCCTCCCCCTCCCCCTTTCACCACCTCGTCCTCCTCGTCCTTCTTTCTCCGCGCTGCTCCCTTGCTCCTCTACTCCTCCTCCTCATCCTCCAACTCCGCCTCCTCCTCCTCCTCCTCCGTCCTCCTCCTCCTCCTCCTCCTCCTCCGCCTCCTTCTCATCATCAGCATCATCAGCATCATCAGCATCATCAGCATCATCAGCATCATCGTCACCATCATCAAAGACACCACCACCACCACCACATCGTTATCATCATCATCATCCAAATCATCCTCTTCCTCCTCCTCCTCACCATCATCATAATCATAATCATCATCACCATCACCATCATCATCATCATCATCATCATCATCATCATCATCATCATCATCATCATCATCATCATCATCATCATCATCATCATCATCATCATCATCATCATCATCATCATCATCATCATCATCATCATCATCATCATCATCGGCATCAGCATCAGCATCATCATCAGAAGCATAATCAGCATCATCAGCATCGTCGCCGTCACCAGCAGCAGCAGCATCAGCGCAGTCAGCACCAGCATCATCATCAGTATCAGCATCGTCGTCATCATCATCAGCAGCAGCAGCAACAGCAGCAACAGCCTCAGCATCAGCATCAGCGCCAGCATAAGCAGCGGACTCAACATCCTCGTCGAGATCAACATCATAACCAGTGCCAGCATCGGCATCCTCAGCATCAGCATCAGCATCAACAACATCGGCATCGGCATCATCAGCCGCAGCAGCATCATCGTCATCAGCACCATCCGCATCATCAACATCATCACCACCACAACCATCATCATCAGCACAATCAACACCATCATCAGAATCATCAGCATCACCATCAGCATCCCCATCATCAGCATAATCAGCATAATCATCAGCAGCATCAGCAGCAGCAACATCATCACCATCAGCATCAGCAGCAGCGGCATCAGCATCAGCATCAGCATCAGCATCAGCATCAGCATCAGCATCAGCATCAGCATCACCAGCCTCAGCATCAGCATCAGCATCAGCATCAGCATCAGTACCACCAACAAGAGCAACAGGATCATCGTCAGCATCGATATTGTCATCAAGAGAATCCCATTCCTGATCATTGAGCTCGGCCTCCTTCTCCTCCGCCCTCCCACTGCCCCTGCTCCTCCTCCTCCTCCTCCTCCTCCCCCTCCTCCTCCTCCTCCTCCCTCCTCCTGCTCCTCCTCCACCGCCTCCTCCTCTTCCTCCTCCTCCTCCTCCTCCTCCTCCTCCTCCTCGTCCTTCTCCTCCTCTTCCTCCTCCTCCTCCTCCTCCTCCTCGTCCTCCTCCTCCTCCTCTTCCCTCCTCCTCTCCTCCTCCTCCTCCTCCTCCTCCTCCTCCTCCTCCTCCTCCTCCTCCTCCTCCTCCTCCTCCTCCTCCTCCTCCTCCTCCTCCTCCTCATCCCCCTCCCCTCCCCCTCCACAGCCTCGTCCTCCGCGTCCTTCTCCTCCGCCTCCTCCGCCTACTCCCCTATTCCGCATCAACCTCCCCCTCCTCCTCCACCTCCGCCTCCACCTCCTCCTCCTCCTCCTCCTCCTCCTCCTCCTCCTCCTCATCTCATCATCATCATCATCATCATCATCATCATCATCATCATCATCATCATCATCATCATCATCATCAGCATCATCATCATCGTCATCATCATCATCATCATCACCATCATCATAATCATCATCATCATCCTCCTCCTCGCCATCATCGTCATCATCATCAGCATCATCAGCAGCATCAGCATCAGCATCAGCAGCATCAGCATCAGCATCAGCAGCACCATCATCATCATCATCATCATCAGCGTCATCAGCATCCTCATCATCATCATCATCATCATCATCATCATCAGCAGCATGATCATCATCATCATCATCATCATCATCATCATCAGCATCATCATCATCATCATCATCATCATCATCATCATCATCATCATCATCATCAACATCTTCATCAGCATCATCAGCATCAGCATCATCAGCATCATCAGCATCATCAGCATCATCATCAGCATCACCACCACAATCAGCATCATCAGCATCAGCATCAGCAGCATCATCAGCATCAGCATCATCATCAGCAGCATCGGCATCAGCATCATCATCAGCAGCATCAGCATCAGCAGCATCGTCAACATCATCATCGGCATCAGCATCATCATCAGTGCCATCACCATCATCTTCAGCATCGTCGTCAGCATCAGCAGCATCAGCATCAGCATCAGCCGCATCAGCATCACCATCATTACCAGCATCAGCATCAGCATCAGCAAAAGCAGCAGCAGCACCAGCATCAGCATCGTCATCAGGAGTAGCCGCAGCATCAGCATCAGCATCAGCATCAGCATCAGCATCAGCATCAGCAGCAACAAACTCATCATCGTCGCCGCCATCGGCAAGATCGACATGAGTATTATCGCCATCATCATCAAGAACAGCATCATCATCATCATCATCATCATCAGCATCATCATCAGCATCATCATCATCATCATCATCATCATCATCATCATCATCATCATTATCATCATCAAACTCAGCATCAGCGTCGTCAGCATCACACTCAGCATCAGCAGCAGCATCATCATCAGCACCATCAAGAACAGCAACAATAAAAATTACCCCAGTGCGACCCTACCTAGAAGTTGGAGTCCCTAGGAAAGCAGCATCACTTGCTATGCTATGCTATGCTATGCTATGCCATGCTATGCTGCGCTATGCTATGCTATGCTATGCTATGCTGCGCTATGCTATGCTATGCTGGGCTATGCTATGATATGCTGTGCTGCGTTATGCTATGCTATGCTGTGCTATGCTATGCTGTGCTCTGCTATGCTAAAGCTCAGCGAAGCTACAATGAAGGTAAGCTAAGCTAAGATAAACCTGAACTAAGATGAAGCAAAGCTAAGCTAAGATGAAATAAGCTAAGTTAAGATGAGATAAGCAACGCTAAGCTAAGGGGACGCAACTGGGGGAACCGCGGAGCGGATGCCGGGGGAACCGCCCGGGGCGAGCCCCACTGCCCGGCCCCTTCAAGCTGAGACAGTAAGAACCCTTCTAGGCAGAGCCTAGGTAGGGAACAACAACAACAACTACAACAACACCTAGAACAACAGCCATACTAACAACAACATCACCACCATTAACCGCAACAAACCGCAACTTCAACAACAACCACAAGCACAACCACAACACCAACCACGGCAACGGCAACAACAAAAACAACAACATCATCACCAGCATCATCCGAATCGTCATCAGTAACATCACCACCATCAGCCGCATCAGCATCAGCATCAGCAGCAGCAGCGGCATCATCACCAACAACAAACAGCAGCAGCAACATGATCATCGCCAGCATCATCAACGTCAACATCGGCATCATCATCATCATCATCATCATCATCAGCATCATCATCATCATCATCATCATCATCATCATCATCATCATCATCATCGGCGCATCAGCATAAGCATCAGCTTCACCAGCATCATTACAACCATCATACTCAAAATCATCAGCGTCATCACCATCATCACCAGCACCAGCATAGTTATCATCAGCATCAGCATCACCATCATCATCATAATCAGCATCAACTGCATCACCATTACAATCAGCACAATCATTGTCATCCCCAGCAGCATCACCACCACCGTCAGCATCACCATCAGCAGCTGCAACAGCATCAGCATCAGCATCAGGATCATCCGCCTCAGCATCAGCATCAGCACCATCATCAGCCTCATCTTCAGAAGCAGCAGCAGCAGCAGCAGTAGCGTCATCAAGCTCGTCCTGCTCCTCATCATCGAGCTAGTCCTCCTTCTCCTCCCCCTCCGCCCTCCGACTCCTCCTGCTCCACCACCTCCTCCACCTCATCCTCCACCTCCTAATCCTCCTCCTTCTCCTCCTCCTCCTCCTTCTCCTCCTCCTCCCCGTCCCTCATCAAGCCCCCTCTCTGTTAGCCCCACCCCCCATACCCCTTCTCCTCCTCAGCATCCTCTCCGTCCTATTCTTATTCGTCGGTATATCTTTATGTGTCTTAGACTTCTCTTCTTTTTAGTAGTAACAATATTCGTAGTATCAGCAGAATAAACATTATTGTTCGTAGCAACCGCATTAGTAGCACGAATAGTAGCAAGAATATTCATGGCATATCCGTAATCAGACTAGGCCTTTTACTGTCAGTATTAAGAATATTAGCATCCGTACTCTTATTGTTGTTGTTAGTAGCATGTTTGTCATTTCGGTTCGCTTCCTCATTCTTGCTAGATGTATTCCACCTCCTCCTCCTCCTCCTCCTCCTCCTCCTCCCTTCGCCTCCTCCTCATCCTCCTCCTCTTCTCCTCCTCCTCTCCTACCCTCCTCCTCCTCCTCCTCCTCCTCCCTCCTCCTCCTCCTCCTCCTCTCCTCTCCGCCTCCTCCTCTCTCCCTCCTCCCACTCCTCGTCCTCCTCCCGTACTCCTCCTCCTCCTCCTCCTCCTCCTCCTCCTCCTCATCTTCCGCCTCCGCCTTCTTCTCCTCCTCCTTCTCCTCCGTCATCCTACTGGTCCTCTCCTCCTCCTCCTCCTC